AAAAAAAATAAAAGTAGTGATCCTTTCTACTTTATATCTAATAATTTGACTTTCAATGATATGATGTTTAACACTCTATTAATGCAAATAGCTCACATGAGCATGTCTACACTTAAGTTGTTGCTTAACACACAAGGTGTTACTTAACACACAAGTTATTGCAAGCTTATTGCAATGGAGTTTATTTAACATTTATTTAACAGTTTGGAATTTTTTTGGCTGTGAACTAGCGTTTGTGTGGAACACAAGTGTTCATCATGTTTGTTGCTAACTGAACCTAGGTTGTAAGGAAAAATTTAAAAATTTGAGTTAATAGAATTTTGTCAGACATGTTGCAATTCAGCTAAGGCACTTTTGCATAACTTTCACATAGTCAGGAGGATTATAATTTGCAAAGAAATAAGATGCGACTGACTTTAAACATTATCATTAAGTCTCAGAAGCAGCTGTCTGCAATGATATTCCTTATTTGGGGACCTATAGGTACACCCTCACTCTCTAGATTTATTTTATAGATACTCCTATAGATACTCCTTTACTTTTGCTTTTTTGTTTTTTAGAGTATTTTTAGAGTTTTTTTCCATCATTTATGCTTAAATGTGTCTTTGTTGTTTCCCTTGTGCAGTCTAATGCCGCCATCCAATTGCTACCTGTTTTTTAGAACTAATTTAGGCTGACCATGCCAACATTTAAAAATGAATGTACTTTGTTGTAAGTGTTTACAAAAACTGACTTGTGTATAGCATTTAATACATATTGTTTTTAGAATAATTTATTTTTACATACACCTATTTACTTCTGTTCATACAGCACTTTTTGCATGAGATAATTTGACAAATTTTCAACTTTAAATCTTAATATTGCAAAAGTATCTCCAAAATGCCAAAAGTTAAACTAGTAATTTTCTTTAATAATCTTGATGACATATCGTAGAATACTATGATAGAATCTTTACCTGTTGTCAAAATTCAAAGATTTTTTTGTTAGCTTTTAGAATTTTTACGAAAGATTAAAGCACCATTTATTGACAATAGTTGGTGTTTTGTTTTTTAGTCAAGATATTATTTTAGTTTTCGAAGCAGCATGGCTTCTTTTTTTTTATGCTGTTGTGGATTGTTTAGGTTTATTTTGGAGTTGATAATTTTTTTTTCTTTTTTTAAATAAATAATTATTTTAGGTGAAATTCTTTAAAAGAAGATTTCCACATCTTCTTTTAAATTCCACAGTTTTAAATAAATTTGATCATCCACTATTATTAAACAAAAATCAATTTGCAGTTTTAAGGTGGTAAGAAAAAATGAAACATTGTGTGAAGTCAGTAAATTTTGATAAAACCCATCAGTTAATAAACATACCATGATAATCATATTAGGCAAATGTACAAAAAGTTTCAGTTTTTGCCAATTATCAGTTAAAAGGTACCATTTTAGTGATGTTTTAAGTGCGTTTTGTTAAGATAATCAGTTAAAAGGTACCATTTTGGTGATATTTTAAGTTTTGTTAAGGTTTCAAAAAAACAATCTTACTTTTTTAAACTTTTTTTGGAGCTGCTGCAATTTTGTCTTTTACAGCCATTTTCTTATGTATTTAATAACCAAAAATTTGCAGAATTATTGTAGCATTTGATTAAAATTATTTTCTTTTTTATCATAGTTAATATTATATTTTTACAAAATTTATAAATTGAACTTTAATATGATTTATTGAAGGAATTTGTTTTAGATTACTTGAAAGATATTAAAGATCAACTTCAGAAAATTCACAACACAAAATAGTATGTTAAATTTTCATTTTCTTAAAATTATTTGTTTTATAAAACTTGTTTTTTTTTGTTGTTTTTTTTTTCTCTCTGTACCTTTTTTTTTTTGAAAATAGGTTTTTTAAACAAGTATATGGATTTCCATAAGGTTAATAGGTCTGTACAACACTATTATCTTCTCTATGTTGCAAACATACCAATTACTTGTTGCATAATGCTCCATTTAAATTTTTTTTTGTGGTTGAATCTTGAAATACATCATATCTCAGAAATATATGTAGAATTTTGGTACAATAGACATTAATGTATTAAGTGACCAGGGTCCCAGCCCCAGTTAAAAATGGGACTTTTTACAATCCTGGTCCTATTAAACTTATAAGATTTAGCAGGGGTTGATAGCCAGAGCTAGAAAATAATTTATAATACCTCAAGTTTTATATCATTTACTATTTATTAAATACTAGCATATATATATATATATATATATATATATATATATATATATATATATATATATATATATATATATATATATATATATATATATATATATATATATATATATATATATATATATATATATAAACTTTCTATTTAAAAAAGAAACAGTTAACTGAAGACTTAAAAAGTTAAAACTTAAAGAGTTTTGAAATTTTGTTGATGTGCGATAAAATAAACTAGATGAATTAAAAATTTTTTTAACATGGAGAGACAGACACAGCAAAAAGATGCAACTTTGCTGAATGACTAACCAAACAAAATGAGTTTTGGTTGATCAAACTATAGATGGTCATTTGAGCAGTGACCGTGATAGTATTTGTAGAAAAATGAAAGAAATGCAGCCTTACAACGATGGGAGAGTGGCTCAAGCTTGGCAGATAAATCAGGTCCCACTACATTTAAAATGTGCTTTTGGACCTAGTTTGGGAGGGTTGTTTTTAAACAGCTAATAAACTTAGCTATATCTTTCAATGATTGCCTTTCTTTGGGGATTAGAAAGTATATATATATATTATAGCAGCCGTGGCGCAGTGGTAGCGCACTTGCCTCAGAAACAAAGGATCTGTGGTTCAAACCCACCTCTGGGCAGGTTTTGCGACATCTGTTAGGAAGGAGGCGTGAACTTCCAATTAAATGCTCATCCGCGGTGCTCTGTGATAAGACCGTAAGGACTTCTTGGGGCACCTAAATAAATTTAAAAAAAAAGGAGCATAGTAAGATATAAATTGCTTTGCTGTTCCATCTTGCTGAGTGAGAACATCGCAATTTAGTTGGTAGTCCAGTTTGGGTAAAATATTCTTATCCAAGTAATGGATGAAGGCAATACATAACCTGAAGAAAAAAATACATACACAATATGCATATAATGCATACATATCATTGATGTTGAAAAACAAAAAAGTTAATGAAACAAACCTAGCTAATAGTCTATAATCATCTCTCCAAGTTTTAACAGTAGGAGGAGATAAGGCAATTTATGCAGGACATTATATGATTCTTTTAATTGTGGGTACTTATCTTTAAGTTTCTTTATAAACTTAAAATCAGTTAGAACAGGTGATTTTGATGGTGTTGGTAAATAAAAAATTACCATTTTTTTAAGAACAAGGTCTAAAATGTGGGTATTACACCCATAATACGGAACATGTCTGTTAAGTAGCTCAGTTCATAAAATGCCTATTATTTCACCCGAACCATTATAAGCTCTACCTGGGACAAAATGTAATTATTAATTGCATCATACATATTTATAAATAAATAATAATATAAACTTTACAAACCAAAATTGACAGAGCAGGTGTTGCATATGATAAGGAATATTTTATCAACAACATTATACTCTAACAACGTTTCCTTTATTATAGCTGCTAGATTTTTAAAAGTTCCACTAGTATGTAGTGTATTAAAGCCAATGTACCAAAAAGTTGGTCCATCTGACTGAAGGGTAATGACCATATGTTCCACTCTCTTAATGCCGTAATTATATGGCGCCACAGCTTTCCCATCAAATTGTAAAATAAAGGATGTCTCAATTGACAAAGCTGCCTTAACTTTAAGTTATGACTTAAGTTAAGTTAACTTAGAGTTATGACTTGCAACCTTTTACCAGCTCTAAAAATAGCAAATTTATGTGGAGTGGGAGTATAATCATAGAAATAACTTAATGAGCAAGTTACTCTAGCTCCTTTGTGGGTAGAGGTTCTGTGCACATCACAGCAACTGACGTTGCCTTTAATTAAAAACAAAGTAAATATATTTACAAAAAAAGTAATGTTTATTTTGAGAAGTATTATTACTTACTTTTGATTTAAGTTTCCTTTTGGGTGGTTCGAATGAAGGCTCAAAACCATCATAGTCATCATCATTTTGAGATTTTGTATATAGATTGCTCTAGATAATCAAGATCCAGGTTTTTTATTATCAATTACCTATTAGCAAGATGCTCAATAGTTTTTTGACTGGTAGATACGCAGCTCTTTCTATCAGCCATTTGATGATTATAAAATATTCTTCATTTTTTTTTTTTTTTTGTCATGAATATTAAACGGCATAAGAAATCCAAAGTTGATTTTCTCTTTGAGCTTTTTTTATATTCGACCACAAGTTTATTTAGTTTTTTTGTGATGCCAGCTCTGGTTACTGATGGGAAGCTTAATTTCATATTCCAGTGCTGCTCTAGATTCTTTACTATTATTTGTATAACAACTTTTAATGGTGGTGCAGGGTGTGTGTCAACTAAATGGCGATAGTAGCCAAGAATGTGCCAAACTTCTGGAAAATTAGCCAAGCTTTTTGTTCGTAATCCATATGGAGCAGCTGATACCAGAAGCTCCCTCGATTCTTTTGAAAATGGTGGTCTATAGTTGTCTGCCTTTCTCTTTGAAGCTCCATTAGCACTTATGGGGGACATATTTATGGAAATATATTTATAACTAAATTAGAAAATTAAATAAAAGTACTTTGTTTCTACTCCAAAAATAATTAAACTTATAATTTATTATAATTAATTATAAATTATTATTATTATAAAATAATAATTTATTATTAATTAATTATAATTTATTATTAATTAATTATAAATTATTATTATTATAAAAAATTTATAATTTATAACTAAATTAGAAAATTAAATAAAAGTACTTTGTTTCTACTCCAAAAATAATTTAATAGTTAAATAATAAAAAATAGTTAAACTTATAATATAATAAGTATTAACTTCATCTAATTTAAAAACAATATAAATATTCTCTAATAAAGGATAATTATACTTAAGTAATCCTCGTACTTTTTTCTTATTCCTATAAATTATTATTTTTTTTTTTTGACATAGTATAATTTTTAAATATTTAATTATTTTTTATTTAACTGTTCTTAGAATACATTTATTCATGTTATGGTAAAGGTTTCATGAGAAAATAAAAAATAGCATCATCCTACTGTGCAGTACTCCTAAAGTTACTGGAAATGAAAAAGAATGTACGCTTTCAAGAATGGCTTTATTATTGCGGTTAGAAAGAAATGATTTAATAATCTTAAAGTTTTTTATAAAGAAACTTAATACTAGAGTGAAGACTAATTGTAGGTTAGTTGAAGAGGTCAGAGTATTTTCCAGAGTTTTTGGAACTATTTATTTAGCAATTAATAATAATTTAGTGAGGATTTAAAAGAATTCTGGAGAACACTTTTGTAAGACTATGATGGGAACGTTGTCTAAACCACAAGCTGTAGAAGATTAAAAAATTAAGTTCTGGAAGCTGAAATGGTTTAAATGTCTCACAATCAGTTAACCTGTTAAAATGGAATGGCTGGAGGAATATGGCCATTAGATTCAAGAGTCAAATTTGAAGAAAGGTTCTTTGCAAATTACTATGTTTTTTCTGGAGAGAAGAAATAAGATCAGACCTATGAATAAGAGATGGAACGTTAGACCTACTTTAGTTATTGACACTGATCAGACCTATATACTTTAGTTATTGACACTGATCAGACCTATATACTTTAGTTATTGACACTGATCAGACCTATATACTTTAGCTATTGACACTGATCAGACCTATATACTTTAGTTATTGACACTGATCAGACCTATATACTTTAGTTATTGACACTGATCAGACCTATATACTTTAGTTATTTACACTGATCAGACCTATATACTTTAGTTATTGACACTGATCAGACCTATATACTTTAGTTATTGACACTGATCAGACCTATATACTTTAGCTATTGACACTGATCAGACCTATATACTTTAGTTATTGACACTGATCAGACCTATATACTTTAGTTATTGACACTGATCAGACCTATATACTTTAGTTATTTACACTGATCAGACCTATATACTTTAGTTATTGACACTGATCAGACCTATATACTTTAGTTATTGACACTGATCAGACCTATATACTTTAGTTATTGACACTGATCAGACCTATATACTTTAGTTATTGACACTGATCAGACCTATATACTTTAGTTATTTACACTGATCAGACCTATATACTTTAGTTATTGACACTGATCAGACCTATATACTTTAGTTATTGACAATGATCAGACCTATATACTTTAGTTATTGACACTGATCAGACCTGTATACTTTAGTTATTGACACTGATCAGACCTATATACTTTAGTTATTGACACTGATCAGACCTATATACTTTAGCTATTGACACTGATCAGACCTATATACTTTAGTTATTGACAGTGATCAGACCTATATACTTTAGTTATTGACACTGATCAGACCTATATACTTTAGTTATTGACACTGATCAGACCTATATACTTTAGCTATTGACACTGATCAGACCTATATACTTTAGTTATTGACACTGATCAGACCTATATACTTTAGTTATTGACACTGATCAGACCTATATACTTTAGTTATTGACACTGATCAGACCTGTATACTTTAGTTATTGACACTGATCAGACCTATATACTTTAGTTATTGACACTGATCAGACCTATATACTTTAGCTATTGACACTGTTGAATGACAAAAGTCTCTAGAGCCTAACATGTGTGATATAAAGTTTGAATAGTAGAGTAAATTTTGAATAGTAGAGCTTAACATCAGACCTTTTTGCACTTCTTGAAAAAATAAAAAAAGATGTTTTTCTTAATAGAGAACAAACAATAAAAATTCCTAATAGAGAACAAACAATAGCTCTTGTAAAAAAGAAAAAAAAAAGTATTGGTTTAATATAGCAAATACACAAGAAGGTGAAAAACATGGAGTAGAATGCTTGATTTAAACTAAAAAGAAGGAAATAAAGCTTTCACACTTGCCGAAGTAGTATTTGCCGAAAAAGAAGATGGATAAGATTTAACTTTTTTCCAAAAAAGTTAAATCTTATCCATCTTCTCTTTCCAACACAAAATCCAAAATTAACTTTTTTTAGATTTTGTGTAGTTTAACCACTTTTTCTTAATTAATTTTTTATGCTGATTTCAAATTACTTAATACTTTTTTTTTTATTATTAAAAATATTTGGCCTTCTACTTCAATTTCAATAAAAGTGACTATTTTGACAAAAAAATCAATTGTTAAATTAAATGAAATCATTATTATTATCAAAGTAGAATCTGTGGTAAATATTTTAAAAGTTAAGCTTTAAAAAGAACTTAAAACAAAGAAAACTAATTCTTTAATGAAGCTCTTAACCATAAACTTCCGCTAATATAGTTGCTGAAAAAGCAAATTTTTCTTGCTTTCCTAATAATAATAATGAACAGTCTGCTTCACAGGTTATTTTAATGAGAAAAATAAAATTTATAACAAGTTTGTGTTATAGATATAAAAAAATTTTTTTTCCACTTTTGTAAAAGTTCTTAATTTTAACTTTTTTTATGCTAAAAGTGAAAATAAATCTTGTTTTGTTCAATGGTTTTTTTTCTAATTTACATATCATATTACCTAATTACCTAAATTTACTTTTTATCTTTAGTCCAATGGATTTAGCACCTAAATTTCATTTAAAAGATAATTCTGGTAAGAATGTTTAAACTTGCTGGAAATTGTTTTAATTTTTTATTTCTATTAAATATTTTATTAAGTTTAAAGATGTCATAATTTTGTTGAGTTTGAGGATGTCAACATAGTCAACATAGTTTTGTACAGGTCACATGTTACAAACTTATTAGAATCAATGTTCAAAGTGATTAGCTATGTACAAAGCTAATAAAAAATGCATTAGATGTGTTATATCTGAATTTTTAGAAAATGTTTAACACAATCTTTTGCATACTACTAATCCTCAAATTGAAAGCTTGTAGAACTATTAAAAATCTTTCAATAATATTTTTCACTGATAGAAAACAGAGAGTGATACTTGGAAAAGACATCTGACTGGACTAATGTTACAAGTAGTGTGCCACAAAACTCTGTTTTGTAACTTTTTATAAACTGTATACCAATCGCTCTTAGTTAATAAATGAGCTAAGAGTTAATAGTATTCTGAATGATGCTACTGACATTCAAAAAACTTAAATAAAAAAGAAATATGTTTAATTAATCAAGCAAAACTTAGAAAATGTAAAGTTATGTATACTGGAAGAACTAACCCTTGCACAAACTATTTTGTGACACAAACTATTTTGTGACACAAAATACAATTCAAATCATGAATTAGAAAAATCATATGTAGAAAGTGATATTGGTATATATGCTTTAAGTAATATTTTTATTACCTTTTCATGCTTGTAAAAGCTAACTGAATGTAAATATAAAACAATATTAAAAAAAAAAACATACCAAAAGATTTTAAATTAATGGACTAAAGTTGTATAAAAGACCTAAAACAGGCCCCTAAGGATTAAAAAAATGGGAAGCACTATAAAGAACCTAAGCTGACGCTGTATTGCAATGGATTGTATACAATACAGTATTTAGTCTAACCCAAATTTTTTTTTCTTTTTCTTTTTGTAATACTTAACAATTAAAGGTTTTTTAAGATTTTAGAGCCCTGATGATAGATTTTGGGCATGGGGCCTCCGACCCACTAGCCATGGCACTGATCATGTGTTCACACTGTTTTGTAGTGTGTAGTTGTGTAGTGGGCTACTTTAAAGTGGCACTGATCCTGTGATCACACTGTTTTGTAGTGTGTAGTTGTGTAGTGGGCTACTTTAAAGAGCTTACTTAAAATTAAATTAACTTTACATAAAGGGCTACTGTCAATTGTCAGGAAGATCATTAAGAGATAAGAAACAATACAGGACCAAGGATGGAACCTTGTGGTACCCAAAAAGTTACTAAAATTGAAGAAGAGAGTTGACCTTCAAAAACATGTATGTGTGTGTATATATATATATGTATATATATATATATATATATATATATATATATATATATATATATATATATATATATATATATATATATATATATATATATATATATATATATATGTATATATATATATATATATATATATATATATACAGGCCTCAGTGGGAATAAATGAGCACGAGAGCGGAGAAAAGCTCTCCTAGAACGAACTTGGGAAGCTGTGCGAGCTGGTCCTCATTTAATTTCTTTTTCGCTCATTTTAAATTTTAATTTTTCTTTTGCAACAACCGTGCTTTTTAAAAAGCATAGCAGTATATTATGCAACATTTTTTTTTTTAAATGACATTGTGTTTTTTATTTTAGTTTCAATGATAAATATACTTTCATGAGAAAGGTTATACTTTTGCGAGAGCCATAAATTGCTCCTGTAAACTGTTTTAGGGGAGTGTGGTCAAGAGCAAGAGCTAAAGCTCTCACTTCACGCCAAGGCCTATATATATATATATATATATATATATATATATATATATATATATATATATATATATATATATATATATATATATATATATATATATATATATATATATTAATATATATATATATATATATATATATATATATATATATATATATATATATATATATATATATATATTAATATATATATATATATATATATATATATATATATATATATATATATATATATATATATATATATATATATATATATGTATGACTTTACTGTCCCTTCTATTTCTAGGTTTAAAATCTAAAAACTTTAAAATTTAAAAACATAAAACTAAGATTTTATACAATAAAAGCACCATAGTAGCCATGGTAAACTTGTTGAAGCCGTGGCCTTTTTTTTTACAACTCAATTAATTAAAAACTAAACTAAGTTTACCTAAAATATTTAGGTTTTTTTTTTTTAACTTTTGAGCATTTAAACATAATATAAACATTTCAGCACAAATATGCAATACTATATATACAGTTTACATATACATGTTTATATATAAATACATGTACATGTTTATATAAAAATTTATAAACTGCGTATATAAATTTTTGCAGTTTATTATTACCCTAGTATACGTATTTGATACCAGGTGGTAATAATTTAATTGAATTTAATAATAATAACTTATTTTTAGAGTTATTTCAACAATGTATTATAATAATATTCTTTCCAAGAATGATAAGATACCTCATGGGCACCTTATATGTTCTGAAATAAATATATTAAAAGTAGACCACAAATTCAAAAATATGTGATTTCAGCTCATAATTTTCAGACAAAGGAAGGGTTATCCTCAGGTTTTTGATTTTGTTGTGAAAGTTCTGCCTGTGCTTCCATAATATGAAAAGAAACTTAGGATGCAGCTTAATGATGCAAACTTAGGATTGTTTTTAAACTTAGTTTAAAAATCACAAAATCCCAGTAATGGTAATGACAGTAATGACTTTAAGTATTAAAAGGCCAAAAATACCATAACTTAGCAACTATAGATATTAAAAAAAAATTTTCATATTAGCATTACTATATGTAAAATTGAGTGTATAATATGGTGTAATAAAAATCCATACATTGTTAAATTGAACGTGATTGACACTTATGAACCAACAACCTGATTTTCTCAGAAAATAGCTCTTAAGTTTAATTAGTTATATAAAAAATTCATGGTGAGAAAAGTTTAGTTAAAGCTAAAACAAACCGTCGGGTTTTTTCTTTTTTTAAATCACATTTAGTTTCAAATCTACTTTTTTTGTGCTTCTTTTTTTCAACTAGGCTGTCAAATAATTAAAATAGGTTGCTCATACAACTATGTTAATAAACAAATGGATTCAATATGAGACTCAATAGATTAACACACATTTCTTTTTCTTTTAACATTTTATCTTAAATTTGTATTAGATGTCTCTCCAACAAAGATAACTTTTATAAAAAATCAGGATGCACAAGAAAATAAAAAAGTAAGTTTTAGTAATAAAAGTGTTACTTTATTCTTCCTTTTTTTGATTACTCGTTTCTGTTTTTGCAATGTTTATATTAAAACTTTCGTTTTTAATTATATATATATATATATATATATATATATATATATATATATATATATATATATATATATATATATATATATATATATATATATATATATATATATATATATATATATATATATATATATATATATATATATATATATATATATATATATATATATAAAGAGAGAGAGAGAGAGAAATTAATAAAAACACTTATTAAATTTTCTTCAACAAGTTGTTTTGCCATCAGTAGGTCCATCAGGAAGAATGTCTAAATATCAAAAAATTCAATTAATAGAAAAAATATTTCACAGAAAGTTGGGAATTTGTGTAATTAATTATGTAATAAATGTAGTTATTTTTCATTTATTTTTATAATTTTTTAAAAGGTACTTATTTCATGTCTACATTTAGAAATTAATTCAAATTTTTTGTTTAGTAAATTTTCTTGATCCAAATGAGTAATAATTTCAAATATATATATATATATATATATATATATATATATATTATATATATATATATATATATATATATATATATATATATATCTTTAAAAGTCATTTCTTGTTATACGATATATATATATATATAATTTTTCGCATCCTGTATTCTTTAATTCTTTAACAACTGCCAAGGTCTAAGGATTTAACCAATCAAAGTTACCACCGCATGTTCTAGAATGTTCCGTGGCTCCTGAACTTGACCATTTTTGATTTTTGCAAGCTCTTTGGTGTTCTGCACTTCTTGAAATGATTTTCTTTTTGGTCTCACCAATATATATATTTCAGCATGAGCATTTAAGTTGATAAACTCCCGGATTTGAGTTTGAGGGTAGTTTTGTTTTGTTGTTGCATAATATGTTATTTAAATTGGGAGCTGAAGTAAATATAACTCTGATGTTTTGTTTTTAAATTCTCTTCGGAGTTTTGGGCCAATAATAGGTATCCAAGGTAGTTAAACAAACTTTTGATCTAATTGATTAGATGTAGTGTTTTTTGAAATGCCGTCTAAACAGATTTTGGTTATTTTAATTAGATTATTTTTGTTATAGCCGTTTTCAAAAAATGTAATTACGAGGAAATCAATTTCTTGTGAGAGATAATTTTGAGAGCAGATTTGTTTTGCTCGACATAAAAAACCTTTATAGACGCCAGTGGTTATGTTTGGGTTGATGTTGGAGTTTGGTTTTATTTGAACATTTGTTATCGCATCCTCATGGTGTACTTGAAACTCATAAAATTCATTCATTGTATTTGTAATACAAATATCTAAAAAATTAAGTTGTTTTCATTCGTTTTCAAGTTCAACGGTATATTTTATGGAGGGGTTTTGTTCATTTAAAGCTTTAAGAAATAATTCTTGCTTTTCTTTTGAATCAAAGCGAGCATGGCTATTATCCACATATCTTTTGTAAGTTATTGGTTGGAATCAACTAACAAAGGCTATATCAAGTGTTCTTTTTTCTATACTTTGCAAAAATGCTTCAGCTATGACTACCATCAATGACAAACCAATGGGACCTGAATTAGGTAAAATTCGGATTTTATCTTCGTATAAAAAGTAACAATGCTTAATGATAGTTCAATTAATTGGTGTATATCTATGAGAGTTAATTTAGTCCTGCTTTTTAAATCTTCAAAATCATTGTTCAATAACTTTGATTGGTTAAATCCTTAGACCTTGGCAGTTGTTCAAGAATACAGGATGCGAAAAATTATATATATATATATATATATATATATATATATATATATATATATATATATATATATATATATATATATATATTTTAAAGATATATATATATATTTTAAAGATATATATATATATATTTTAAAGATATATATATATATATATATATATATATTTTAAAGATATATATATATATATTTGAAATTATTACTCATTTGGATCAAGAAAATTTACTAAACAAAAAATTTGAGTTAATTTCTAAATGTAGACATGAAATAAGTACCTCTTAAAAAATTACAAAAATAAATGAAAAATAACTACATTTATTACATAATTTATTACACAAATTCCCAACTTTCTGTGAAATATTTTTTCTATTAATTGAATTTTTTGATATTTAGACATTCTTCCTGATGGACCTACTGATGGCAAAACAACTTGTTGAAGAAAATTAAATAAGTGTTTTTATTAATTTCTCTCTCTCTCTTTATATATATATATATATATATATATATATATATATATATATATATATATATATATATATATATATATATATATATATATATATATATATATATATATATATATATATGTATATATATATATATATATGTATATATAACAGCATTTTAATTAGATGATAGCCGCTAATTACTGCATATATATTTTTTTTTGCTAATTGTACTGATTTCTGTTATCACCACATAAAGTTGATTCAAAAAATACAAAGCAACTTTAACTTCACTGCTTACATCTAAAATATCTTTAAGTATGCACATATTACCAAGGTGCTCCTAATCTACCCTAATAAATATATAAAAATAACAAAAATAAATATTAAAAATATATTTTTATAATAAAATAATAAGTATAAGTTTGTATAAATAGAAATGAAATAAAAATTAAAAAATGTATATAAATATAATAAAAATAATATAAAAATACATAACAGTAACAAAAAAAATATGTCCCTGTAAATGCCGACAAGGACTATATATATATATATATATATATATATATATATATATATATATATATATATATATATATATATATATATATATATATATATATATATATATATATATATATATATATATATATATATACATACACACATACTGGCGTATAAATGTTATGTATGTATATATATATATATATACAGCATATACATATATATATATATATATATATATATATATATATTATATATATATATATATATATATATATATATATATATACAGCATATATATATATCGCAACTTTTATAGAAAAGTGGTGTATGTCCATTTTTGCCAAAAATGAGAAATTTGGAAAGTAAAAATTATAGAATATTGTCCATGTTATCTTAAAGTATTATACTTTGATTATTTACGATTAATGAGTTATTGATAATTTAAAAAAAGGTGTATATGCCATCATTTTGAAAACCATAATAGACATAATAGAAAAGAGACTTATCAGACAATACAAATTTTTTGGAGATACAACCATTTTTTATAATGGGTAAGATATATTACTCACATATTTGACTGGCATATAAATTTCATCTTTGCATTTGTTACATTTTTTTTATTTTAGTTATTATTATTATTAGTCGGATTTGCACTAAAAGGCATCATTTTTAAACAAAAACAAACAAAAAAAAAAGGTTTTTATTGGTAGCAGCATAAAGTATTTACTCCTAAGCGAAAGCAATTACTTATGAGTAAAGCAAAACTTTACTCACTAATTTTGAGCAATTGCTTTTGCTATGAGCATTTGCTTTTTAGATTTTGCTTTTACTCAAAGCAATGCTTGTAAGCAATTTTTTTCTTTTTTTTATTCACCTGGCCTTAAATCTTAGTTTTCCTAAAATTTATTTTCATTGTCTAAACAAGGCTTATTTGAATTAATTTTACATTTACATTTTTATTTAATTAAAAAAATTTTTCACACAAATTTCTATTGCTATATTTTTTTTAGTTATTATATTTTAATATAAAATGTATTATAATATACAAATATATAAATAATTATAATATACAAATATCAGTTCCAATTATTTAAATACATAACTATTGCTTTAGGAAAGTAGTATATGCCTATTAAAAAGATCTAATTTGGCAATATATTTACAAGTGTTTAAACATTAAAATTTTGTTGATTAGATACATTCATTACATTCAAGGCAACTTGCAGACATCACTAATATAGAAAGGTATTTTAATGTACTCTCTTTTTTAGGGGGAAGGGAATACAAGTATAACATGTCTGAAACTTAAAAAAATTAATTTGGGGTGAATCTAATTTATTTCCTGTCCATGTTAATAAGCATATACAGTGGCTTAATTGAGACTTGTACTCTCTGCCATATAATTAGAAATATTTTTTCAAAAATATTTTTTTTATTTTTTATCTTCTGTACTTTTTTAATTATACTATTTTATAATAATTATGCAGACGAATGCAGAATTTTTTTGTGTTTCAGATGGAACATGGAGCAAACAACAAACATTTGTATGTTAATACTTATGTCAAAAAATGATGCTTTACAATAATATATAAATCTACAATAAATTGCGATAATCCAAGATTGGGAACAAAAAAGCCCTTTAACTTCATCCCACCCACTTCCACCCCAAATGTGAGGGGCAACAAGTTGATAAAATATTTTTTGTACTATTCTCAACTAGACTTATTTATTGATAAATTTTAAGTTTCATGGTATTATCTCTCAGCCTTCAAAAATTATGATCATATAAAATTTGTAACCCCTTTAAATTGAGGGGGGTTTGAATTTTATATGTTCATATTTTTTGAGTGCTGAAAGATAACACTATGAAACCTAAAATTTATCAATAAATATAAGCCTAATTGAGAATAATGCAAAAAATATTTAATCAACTTGTTGCCCCTCACATTTAGGGTTGGGTTGGGTGGTATGAAATTAAAGGGCTTTTTTTGTTCGCAATCTACAATTATCGCAATCTATTGCAAAGCATCATTATTTGACATAAGTATAAACATACAAATGTTTGGAGTTTGCTCCATGTCTGGAAGTAAGCCACAAAGTAAGTAATCTCAAGTACCAAAAAATCCTGGATCCGTCACTGATATTAATGTAATTATATATTTCTAATTATACTTTATTGCTATATACTTTAAATTTTTAATTGCTGTAATTAATATGTTACTATGTAGTTACTATGGTTACAATAATTATAACTTAAATTTATTATTTATTTTGCTTTTCTTAAATGAGATTAAAATTTAAAAAATCAACAAACTCAAAAAGTCATTTAAAAAAGAATTTAAAATTCAGTAATTTAATAAAAAAAGTTTAAAAGTACCAACCAACTGGTCCATTAACTTATTACACGTTGTATGTTATTTTTCATATTAATATTTATGTCATTTTATATGTTTATACGTTATATCCTAATCTTTTTTTATATCTCTATTAAAGATGTAACAAGTGTATTGGATGTGTAATGGAGGTTTATTGGGGCCGAATGTTTAAACTAAAACTTTCAATTCAAAAGTTAAAAATTTCTAATAAATGCTTTAGTCAGTCACCAAAGTCCATGAAGTTCACTACAGTCACCAAAGTCCATGAAGTTCACTACAGTCACCAAAGTCCATGAAGTTCACTACAGTCACCCAAGGCCATGAAGTTCACTACAGTCATCCAAGGCCATGAAGTTCACTACAGTCACCCAAGTCCATGAAGTTCACTACAGTCACCAAAGTTACATTAATGTAGTTACAATCTTCTCTTAACTCTTTAACTCCGAAACACAAACTTTGACAAACAATGCTGATCCCCAGAGAAACAAGTTGACCATGATACTGCCAGGGACTTGAGATCTCATGTCTTCGATCATCAATCTCAAGTGATGATCGAATGCATTTTTAATCTTGATCTCTATTATAACTTCCGATTTAAAATTATCAAAAAGAAAATCAAAAGAAATTTTTGACTTTTCTGAGCAGGAAAAAAAAAAGACATTTATAATAATGATGCTGCAGTCAAAGCTTATCATTATATATGTACTTCGATATGTTATAGTTTGATTCCAATAAAGTAAACTTTAAAGTGTAATTTCTAAATAATGTAATAATAGTGCAACGAAAGTTACCATTTATTTAGAAACTATTTTTTCTAAGGTTTTGTTTTTAATTTTTTATTTATAATCAATTATTATTTAGAAACTATTCATAATTAGTGTATTTAAAATAATCTGATTTTACTGAGACATAATCTGATATGGTTTACTGAGACATAAAACTTGCTTTAGATAGAATATAAAGGAAATGTGTCTCGGTCCCATTTTGACCTCACCCATTAACAAAAGTTTTTAATGTGTTTGTATGTTTGATATTGTATAAAAAAAAAAATTTAAACAAACATTTTATAAAAATTATTTTTATATTATGTAAAGATTAAAAGTACATAATTAAGTATTTAAAAAATGCTTTTTGTTCATTTTCTAATTTTAGGAATAATCTATCTAACACTTTACACAAAACATGTGATAATGAAAGACATCAGGTAATTATTTTTAATTAATAGAAACTTCTAGGCTAAAGCATACTATGCATTTCCAAAAAGACATTAGGAATCTAGGTTTTTCACATTTGTCCATTCACTATTGGTCCATTTTTGGTTGAACGAATATATTGTTTACATAAGAAGATAAGGGGATTATAAATTATTATTATTTAATAAATAAAAATTTATTAGATGTTTCTTTTTTAACTTGACGTTTGTTATGACTAGGGCAACTAAAAACGAGTAAATGAATCATTTTCCAAATAAAACTTATTGCAGATGAGTTACCATGAATGATAAAAGTAGCTCGAGCAATAAAAAACATTTTACCTTAGAGTAACACATTAAACTTGTTTTGCTAATGGATTATACAGAATATACAGTATCGGACAAAACAAGTGCAACGAAATAATGCTAATTTAGCTTCTTTATATAAAAATGCTGCATTTTTTCAATTTATAAAAATAACTATGTAACTGTTTAGAGACAACGTTCTTCAAGTTTTATTCATCACAAAGTTCATTATTTGTACACAAAAATTAATAAATTAATCATAAGTATTAAAAAAAGTTGATTTCCTTCTGGACAAAATAAGTGCAACTCCACAAAAACTTGACCAAGCTTTATTTCGCTATAAATATTTTGTGGCGAATCCTTTGTTGTCGATCACAGCCTTGCATCTTCAAGGCATAGATTCGATCAGGTGATCAATGAAACTTTGTGGAATCGCTGCCTATGCCTTTTGGATTTGTTCAAACAGTTGATCCTTATTACGAACACCTTCACAATTAATTCTGCGATTGACGATCTCCCACAGGTTCTCGATAGGGTTGAGATCCGGAGATTGAGGCGTTTAATCCATCACCGATAGGTGGTTGTCTTGAAACCACTGCTTGACTACTTTTGCAGTGTGTTTCGGATCGTTGTCTTGCTGAAAAACCCATTTTCTTGGCATATTCCATTCAGCATGAGGTAACATAACATCTTTCAGGATATTTTTATACATGAAACAGTCCATTATTTCATCGATTCGATGTATTGGATAGCAGAAAAATACCCCTATACCGTTACATGGCCTCCACTATTCTTCACGGTCTTATTGCAGTAACGTAAATTGAGGCGTTTTTCGGCCGGTCGACGTACACTGCAGATGCCATCGCTCTCAATGATGTTAAACTTAGATTCATCACTGAACAGGACATTTCGTCATTTCTGCACATTCCAGTCAATATGAGATGTAGCAAACAGGAGTCTTTTCTTATAGTTCTTTAGTGAAATCAGCGGTTTCTTTGCAGGGCGTCGAGAAAATAATCCGGCTTCAACAGCACGTCGTCTGATTGTTCGGTCCGATACAGGCAACTCTAATTGCTTTTGTATCTTGACTGATGATATCCAGGGATCCTTCTTGAAGGATCTGACAATCATAGAATCTTCTCTAGAAGTAGTGGAACGCGGTCTTCCACCTTTGTTATCTGCTGCCAACTTCCCCGTAGAACGATATTTGGAACATAGCCTGATACGGTCAATTTTTTCATGCGATATTTATCACAAATACTTTTTTGTGACATTCCGCTTACGTAATCGTCAATAATTTTCTTTCTTAGTTCCAACCCAAGACTGTCGGGAGCCATTTTTGTACTTGAAGTCATAAAAATAAATAATCACGGTTCTCAAGGCTTACCGTGTTACATTTACCTTGTGATGATACAATAATGTTCTGTGGAACACAACGTCTTGGTTGGATGTGGACTGTATTGATGTAATGAAACACTTGTTGTATTTCACTTCTTGTATTGAGGTTCTTTGATAAAACACTTTGATAAAACTCACTTCGATAAACTGTCTTGATAATACTGACTGATTGACGTCCATATACTGACTGAATTACATGTCGGTTTACATGTCTCTTATACAGTAAAATGAACCTGTGTGAACCTGTTCTGGAAGATTTTAGATTCTTCTTTTCGATGCTTCTGGATGCTTCTGAATACTTCTGGATGCTTCTGAATACTTCTGGATGCTTCCAGATGCTTCTTCTGGAAGCTTCTGCATGCTTCTGGAAACTTTTGGATACTTCCTTTAATTATTAAAAAACTTCCGTGACGTTGACACGGACCAGACTTAAGAAAATGAAACAAACCAAAAAAGTTGCACTTGTTTTGTCCGCTGCAAAATGGCACTTGTCAACGAAAATCTGCCTGTGTGCTGTCACCTGTCAGCTGATTGCTCATGTCATGGCATGCTATGACTCCAGACTCCTGAACTGTTTGCTGTGGTAGTATAGTTCGTTTCGTTTTTAAGACATGTAAAATTTGGAACACTTTTTAGCATTTTTCGATGTTGGTTGCAAATGTTTTGTCCAATACTGTAATTGACTTGTACCAAATGTCAAAAAAAGTTTTTAACAACTCCGACAAGACAGAAATTTTTAAATGTTTACAACCTGGTTTTGCCTTGCCATCTCAGCCATTTTTTTCGTGATAAAACTATTATCACATCGAATTCTTTCGTATTAAAGTTGCAAAAAGTATAAAACAATTGTATAAAACTAAAAGTGCTCTAAATAAACGTATTTTAACTTAATTATGTTTCTCATTTAAACTATGTAAATATAAGCTTCTCTATGAAATAAATACTATAAAAATACTTTTATTTTTCTCTGCAATGGAGTTACTACTCATTCAAGAATAAGGCTAAATAAATGTTTGTTGATTACTGTAACGAATATTTTAATTAAAAAAATATATTACTCTGAAAATATAAATTATTATTATTATTTTAAATGTATTAATAAAAAATACTCTTTTTTATTATGATTTAAAATAATGATTTTTTTTCTATTAAAAATAAATTATTATGATTTAAAATAATGATTTTTTTTCTATTAAAGCATAGGAGATTGTTTTATAGAGGACATTTTACATACTTTAACATCATTAACATTGGTTAAAATTCACGACATGTTTAAAGCACCTGTAGTGTATTTTTGATTTCCCTAATTATGATTCATAATAAATTAAACCAAGCTCATTCCTGAATTATCAAATACAGGGGCGGATCCAGGATGTTTTGGTCTTTGGTCATTTTAAGGGGGGTTTGCGAAGCATTTTTATTTGACATAAGTATAAACATATAAATGTTCGGATCCGCCCTGAAAAATGCTGTATTCGGAATTTCAATTCGTATAACAAATAATTGTTTGATTTTTAACTAATCATAAAGTTTTTAAAATGCGTAAATATATACATACTTTTATGCTTATCCTTTATCGTTGGCTATTTTTAGGCCGATGGTTTTACTAAAAAAAAAGCTAATATAATAGAAATTTTGGTTCCTGAGTCCAAACATTTTGAACGGAGTGGTAAAGTAAGTTGTATTCCATTGCTTCGCTCATATCCAGCAGATGATCAATCTTTAGCAAAATCTAGCGTTCGATGTTATCATCAAGATTTTTTTTTAAGTAAAAATGACGATATACTTTTAAATGAGAAATCTGCATTTCATCTCCAACCAAATACATTGTTAAACAATCAATGTCTATATAATTTACGCTGTTCAGATATGATGGTTGGTAAAAATAAGCATATAGACAATCGAAATCAACCACAAAACTCAGCATTACAGATACTTAATCAACCCATAAATTCTCTGCGCAGAAACCGACGACCAACAAATCAAACTTTAGAATTAGCACACTCAAATGAAGAAGTGGCAGATATACTCGATTATATTGATAGTATTCCAATTAAAGTTCTTGAATCTGAACTTCTTGGTAGAAACGAAAACGTGACTTCCTCATTGTTTGATACGGAGTTGGTAAAACCTTCATTAGAAAGTCCTTCTCCTCCAAAATATTACCGCATGAGCATGTTTTAGTGTGCAGTGTGACCATATTTGTAACATCCAGTTATTTTAAAAGATTTTAATTGATTACAAAGACTACTGTGGCAATTTGGATATGCTTTAGAATGTTAAATTTTGTCCTGCTTGTTACGTAAACATTTTTATGTTTTGCATATTTATAGGGTTTTCAAGTTCATTGAATAACATACGATGTTTTGGCTATTTCATAATAAACAAGCTAATGTTTTGCGACTTATATTAAAGTGTTTTTTAAAATTTTGTTGTATTTTATTTTCATGCTTATTTATTTATAGCTGGAATTGTTATTGAATTTTAATTTTCGTCTTTTTTGTTTCGTTATATTTATAGTTGTGTACGCGCGATATTTTTGTTATTGTTTTTTTATATATTTATTTCGTTATAAATGTTATAAAAACGTTTATCTTATTATAAAAATTCTTTAAAAATTGTCATCTTTAAATAATAAAAAACGATCAAAAGTTTTTTATTGTGATTGTCAATTCCTAATGAAAGTATAAACAATGATTATTTTTAATGCTCACCTATCATTTTTATATTTATTCTTTATATGGTCTCTTTATTTCAATAATATTTAGTAAATGGTTAAAAACAATTGGTTTAAAAATCTTGGTGTGACATTTCTCTCGGTGTTTTTTAAAATTTTAAGTTGTTTTTGTTTAAAGAATATCCCTTATAATATTTTATTGGCCGTAACGCCGCACTATGCGTCGCGAAGCGGAAATAGGATTTTACTTACTTTTCAGAAAAAAAAATTCAATTTTGATATTTTAAATATTTTTTAACTGAAACAGGTTAGTATTAGTTAATAAAAAAAAGTTTTTTTTTAATTTTTTTAAATACATTTCGTAAATTAAAAACCAAGAAAAGAAGAAAAAAAATGTTTGGATCATTGTTTTTGGGTGTCTGTAAAAATTGATCGATTAGACCATGTTACTACAGAGCCAGTTTTTTATTTTTTTTAAATTTTCTCAAACAAATTGACTTTTTATAAGTGAAATAATATTCTGGCTACCTCTGTAGTAACATGCTATAAAATCAATTCAAAAGAGGTGGATTTATTAAAAACCGGTTAGTAAGTTTTTGTCAAGAAGAAACTGTATGCGGGCGGAACATTCTTTTCTAGTCTTTAAGTTATAACCTAAGTTTGGCTCTCATCGTGATTTAGAATATTTTTAAAATGGTTACTTTTAATCTTAGCAAACTTCTGGCTGATAATTTTCCTCCAAGGCATATTTTCACGAGTAAAAATGTATCTGAATGTGCTAAATTTTTGCAGTCCAAGTTTTTCACTTTATGCTGATTGCACTGTGAATTTCAACATTTTCAAAAGTCTGGCTTTTAATTTAATAAAAAAATTTAATGAGTGTGGAAAAAGATAAAAAGTTCTTTCTTACTAAATATAAACATTTTTTGGATCAAAATCAACAATGCAAATATCTCTTGTGAGTATAATATATTCTATATTAATTTAAATAAGTAATAAATATTGCATTATAGTATATATATATATATATATATATATATATATATATATATATATATATATATATATATATATATATATATATAGAGAGAGAGAGAGAGAGAGAGAGATATCTATATATATATATATATATAGATATATCTATATATATAGAGAGATATATATAGATATATATATAGATATAGATATATATATATATATAGAGAGAGAGAGAGATATTATACTTGTGCGTGTAGATTAGAAAAAGATTCTGAAAAAGAGATTAGAACACATGAGGAAGAACTGCTATTAATTAGAAAAGGTGAAAATCTTATTAAACAGGGTAATCAACTCATCAAGCAGGGTGAGCGTAAAATAAAAGAAGGGGAATTACTGCTTCGTACTCATGGATCCAATGTAAACAGGTATGCATAGATAAATTTATCTCCCTCTTTTTATTTTGCACACACACATACATATTGTTTGACTATGTTTCACAAAACCTTTAAAATGTATATATGTTTTAATGTATTTTTTTATTATTTATAGTGTACCGTGTAGAGTACCTAAATCATCTGCAGTCAATACATCTTGTACACCAAAACCTAGAAAGTCTTTTATTAAGCTTACAAACAGGATGAAGCGTAAAAGAACAGATAGTCTTAGAGAACGAGAGGTGGAAGAACTGCAACATGCTGTCAAAAGGTTTAAATCTAATTCTTCTATTGATGGTAGGGCTATTTTATATGGTTCAAATTTGTCATTGCAAGCTCTTTGTAATTTGAAACTTACAGATAGAACATGGACTGAATTTAAAAATATAGTGACTCATAATCGTCATCTTGTTCCTCCAGGTTTAACCAAGTTGAAGCAATACAAAAAATTGACATATCCAGAACAGGTTGAATATTCTGAAACCGAAGTAAATTGTAGTCTTTTCCATATGATAAAGCATTCAGTTTCTAGAGTGTTTGAATATCTTTTGGATTATAAAAGTAACTGCATAATGAGTTTATCACAAAAAGAGCGTGATAATGTACAAATTATTTGCAAAGTAGGAGGTGATGGTCAAAGTGATCAATCTGAGTTTCAAAATTCAGCAACTATGAAAAGAGGTGTAGATGATCGCTCTGTGTATAGTATAGTGTTTGTACTGCTGGAGATCCGAAGTGGAGAAAAAATAATATGGAAAAATTTAATTCCAAATAGTCCAGATGCAACCCGTCATCTTCTTTTTTGTTTTGCAAAAGAGACTGCTAGTTTTATTCAGGAAAAATTTGAACATTTGAAAAATGAAATTTTTTTATTGAAGAATATTGAATTTAAACTTGGTGAAAGTACTTTTGTAGTAAAGTCTAGTTTGTCAACTATTAATACCACAATGAATGATGGCAAAACACTAAACGCTGTTGTATCAAATATGCTTAAAAAAAAAATTTCATCTCAGTCCTGCCATATATGCCTTGCAAATTCTAAGGAGTTTAACTTGAAAACTATTTGGAAAAAAAATATTAATTTAAACAAGCATGTTTTGAAACTTGGAATTTGCAGTCTTCATCTATGGATGCACTGTATGGAGTGGATTTTCAAAACTGCTTGTAAACTCCCAGCTGTTAAGCAAGGAAGAAATATTCCATCACAAAAGAGTAAAGAATTTATTTAAAACAAAAAAAAATTCCAGCATTTATTTAAGATACAACTGAATATAAGGGTTTCTTTTGTCAGGAAAGGATGTGGAACAACCAATACTGGAAATGTTGCTCGCAAATTTTTTAATAACCCGATTGTGACAGGGAGAATTTTAAACTTGAATATCAGAATGATTAAGTTGTTTCGAGATTTACTCATTGATATAAACAGAACAACTACAAGACCGGATATAAAGGTTTTCAAACAGAAATCTGAACATCTATTTGCACTCATAACTAATGATAAATTTTTAAAAACCATACCTATGTCACAATCTGTGCATAGAGTGATAGTTCATGGTACTTCTTTTATAAGGTATTTTAAGTATCCGATAGGTTCTTTGTCTGAGAGTGCTATTGAAGCCATAAATAAGGAAAACAAAACTGCTTGAATTGGTCATGCTCGTTTAACCTCTTTTGCAGAAAACACTAGGGATACAGCTAATATTTGTTTATGACATCTGATATGTACCTCTTTTGCAAAAAAAAACAAAATGGATAAAAAAAGAGTGAAAACAAAATAGTTTAAGAAAGCAAAGTGACAGTTCTTCTGATAACTGCTTAAAATAAAGGTAAAATAGTTTTATTATTATTGTTAATAGTTTTGATTGATTTTTTTTTGGTTAGGCAATCTCATAATTTTGGTTAATTAACAATTTAATCAATTTTAACAAGCAATTAACTATTTTAGGAAGTAAGACCATAAAGAATCATACTTATGAGCTGTTCTGCGTTGAATTTTAAAAAAACGGCTATTTTCATAGCCACAAGTTATTAAAAACATCTATTAGAATAGAACGTTGAGAAACTGTGAAAGAATGCAAAGAGCCAAGTATCATATGATAGCAGAGTTGTTTATTATATTCAATGATACTGTTTATTTTGAAATAGTGTTTATATAAATAGTTTGTAAAATTCTATAGAATATAGGCGCCTACTTTTTTTTGAATAAAATCATCCGGACTTGTGTAGTTTTTCGGACAAATCTAGAATTAGTCCGGACTAACCGAAAAAAAATACAATAAATTGTTTTTTTATGAAATATGTGGCTATTCTTTTAAATATAGAAATATAAATAAAAATTTGATGTCTTGTGAAAAAATAAGTTAAATATTTTAAGTTCTTCTTTATTTATATGCCTATTTCCTCATTTTGTATAAGAGCAACGCATAATGCATCATAAGAAAAATACTGCTTTCTATTAGACGAGTAGTTTTTAAATTAAACTATATTTGCATTCGTACTCCGTAATTTACTAGTTTTTTTAATAAAGTATGGTGGTCAACTGTGTCAAAGGCTTTGCTAAGGTCTATAAAAATAACTAATTTATACTCTTTTTAATCAAAGGCTCGAAAAATATCAATAACAAGTTTAAGGATAGCATGATCAGTTGAATGACCTTTTTTGAACCCAAATTGTTTGTTGTATAAAATATAATTTGTTTCTAGAAAAGAGAATAGTATTTATTGTTAGCAGTTAAATGTGACTCCGCTAAGTTAACCATGTTTTAGTTTTGAGGCTAAATTTGATTCTACACTAACAAAAACTTGATTAAATGTTTTTGCAATTTTTGATTCATTAAGTATATCAAACCATTAAAGTTTATTGTTTTTAAAAGACGATTAGTTGATAACTTTTTTTTACCAATTAAATCTTTAATGACATTCCAGGTTTTCTGAGTGTCGCCTTTAAATTTTAGCAATTGATTTGAATAATATATTTTCTTTGAACGAGATATAGCTGGCTCAAAAATACCTATATATTTTTTATACTTAGATTCATTACCAAAAGTTCTTTTTTTAAGGAATTTTTCGTACAAACGTTGTTTCTTTTTTGGATAATTTTAATATTCCGGTAGTTATCCATGGGTTCAAATACATTTTAGATTTAACAACTTTTGTTATCTTTGGAAATGCATTATTGTAATGTTTTTGAAACATTCGAAGAAAATTGTCTTAAGCTTTGTTAGTGCTTTTTATTTGTAAAATATTTTTCCATTTTTAAGAAGATAAAGATTGATTAAAAAGTTCGACAGAAACGTCATTAACGATTCGCTTAGTTATTTTTACTTTTTGTGAGTTTTTTGAAAGATTACACTCTTGAGTTGCAATAAAAATTGGAAAATCATCCGATATAAATATTCCAGTTTTAACTGTGCCTGTAAATTTGTTTGTTAAAATTTGATCAATCGAGGTTCCAATATTTTTGGTGATTCTAATTGGTTTATTTATGGTTGGAATAAATCCATTTTGGAATTTAAATTAAGAAAGTTTCTGACGTTTTTATTTGAGTCATTTTTTAATACATTTAAATTCAAATCGCCCCCAAGGTAAACGCATTCACTACAAACATCTTTATTTGTAATTAAATTTTTTATGTGATTATCAAATATTTTTATATTACCTGAGAGCGGTCTGTATAAAACATGCACAAATATATTTTTGGTAGTTTTACTAAATATTTTAATTGTCAATGACTCACAATCATTACTTGCTGTACAGTAATCACTTCGCGGTTTTTTAAATTAATGAGTTGTGAATAAAGATGCATACTCCTCCACCTGGTTTATCAGAGTTTTTAAGTTGATGACCTTTATAATTTTTTAACTGAAAATTTGAATTGTTTTCAATTTTGTGACACCATGTTTCTGTGAGACAAATTACTTTAAACCCCTATTTTGTGCTGAGTAATTTTTTACTTTTTACTTTTAAACTTTTTTTAATTTTAAACTTTTCAGTTTAAATTTCTCAAAATTTTTTTGAATGCTTCTAATATTTAAATTTAGGATTGAGAATGCATCTATATCTATTTCAGGATTTTATTTATTAAAAAAAAATAATAATATTGTTCAATGAAAATTTTGAATTTAAAAAAATGATTTTTTCTAAAAAATATCAAAATTAATGGGATGTACCACCTTTAGAATCGAATGACGTAATTTTAAAATAAAGGTGTACAAAATGAACAATTACTGTATTTTGTAGGAGTGTACCGGATTTGAAATTTTGAAACCGGGCCTGAACCTGATTTGTTAATGTTTGCACCTCAACATCGTGAGTATATCATTTATATTTATAATCTATATATATATATATATATATATATATATATATATATATATATATATATATATATATATATATATATATATATATATATATATATATATATATATATATATATATTATATATATATATATATTGAATTAGGTTATATATATATATATATGTATATATATATATAACCTAATTCAATAATTTGCTTCTTGTTTCATTTAAACGTTACTTTTATAATTCTATGTATTAAAAGTTTTAACCTGCATAATATTTTAATTTAAAATTATTACTTTATTTTCTATTTTTTCATAAAGGTAATAGACATCCTATATTTTTTAATTTAAAATTTAGGTAACATTTAAAATGAGATTGTTTTCATAGCCAAGAATATTTTTGATGAAAAAGAGCTAGTTTGTTGCCCAAAAAGTAAGCTGAGTAACTTTTTTTAAACCACAATATTCCTAAACTTTAACAAGTCCTTACATAATTGATTATTGCAAATTAAATTACATTGTGCTTGTATAGAATTTTGTATTTTTTACCTATAGTTTTTCATTGCCCTGTAGGATAATGATTTTATGGTTCAATTTACAGTTTGTGTCACAGATCTTGAAAAATAAAGTTTGAAATGAATTCCGGTGACGCGAAATAAAATAACTCCCCGAAAAGTTAACTCTCGGTTAAAACATTTTAACTCCCCGGTTAATTTATTTTGAAATAAATTAACCCCGGGAGTTAAATTATTTTAAAATATGGCGAAATGGATTAACCGGGGGCCTAAATATTTTTAACCCCCATCGTAATAAATTAACCCCTTTTAATTCGCGTTTTAAATATTTTAGCTTATAATAAGTTCTACAAAATTGCGTAAATAGTTTATTTTGATATATTTTTTAAATCATAGTCATAAGAATAATATATATTTCTTATGACTATGTTTTAATATATAACTTTAGTTAGCGTTGAATAAAATTATTTTGTAACTGTTTATTTTTGCCAAGTTTTTATATTATTGTGAAAATAAAAAGGAGATCAAAATAATATTGCACGAACTTCAGTGAAACTTACTCTTGCAATAATTTTGAGACTACAGAGTTTATATAGTGATTTAGTTAGCTATCTAGATAGCTAACTAGTATATATACGTATATATATATATATATATATATATATATATATATATATATATATATATATATATATATATATATATATATATATATATATATATATATATATATATTCTTGCGGCGAAAAAACCACGTGATCATTACGTAATGAAAAACAAAAATATCTACCATTATGATATGGGGGCAAACAAACGTGCTGATTTCAGTACAACATTACTTAAACGCCTTGAAAATGTCTTATGATTATCAAGAAAATCTAAATAAGCTGCTGAACGTTACCAGAACAAAATTTAGCGTTATATTGAAATAAATCTGTGCAAATGCTTTAAGGAATCATGGAATTCAATTAATTCATCATTTTAAAATTATTGCCAGTTTACAGATGTAGTCAATAAATAAAAGAAAAATATTACATATTGATATTCTAATAACATTTAAAAATTCTATATTTTGCTTAAAATTTTCCTCAGTGTAATATTTATTCCTCATGTTTTTAATATATGTGAAATAAATGTTATAAATAAAAAATATTTTTTACAGTATAATAATGAAATGATCAAAATTACTAATTACAACAATTTGAATTATAACATCGTAACAATATTTATAAAGTTTTTTAGTAAATGGTATGAGGATTAACAATATTATATCTTGGCTTTTAAAAAATAACATAAATGACTTTTTATCTTCATTCACGAAGGTACTCTCTAAAACCAGTGACAACAGCAGAAACTCTACTAAAGAAAATGGAACCAATTTATGCTGAAAGCATTTACAAATTAATGTCTTATGTATCATGTTAACATGAAAAATAAAAATTTAAAAATTTTTATTTTTCATGTTAACATGATACATAAGACATTAATTAAATAAAATTTTTTAAAAATATAACTAAATAAATCATAAAGAAGAAACTTACTTTGTAAGATTGTTTTTGTGACCTAAGAACAATCCTAAAGATTAAAAATGACACCATTAAAAGTATGTTTTACTTTAAAACATGTTTCTTGCCTATTAGTAAATGATTAGAAGTGACGAGTTTAAGTAAAAAAACTATCTAATAATCATTTGTAGCAAGAGACACCAACGAGAAGGTAAGCAAAGTTGTCTATTAACACAAAACATCACAACAATAACATCACAATAATAACACAATAAAACAAAATAAATTTATACACATGACTTACAAGTGAATCAACACCGCACTAGAGGTTGAAACAGAACACAAACACACATAACGTCTAAAGGGTGAGCCAACATGACACCAGAGGTTGACACAGAACATAAACACATATATATTGACTTATGAGTGAGCCAACATACACATAATCACTTACCTAGCTAATGCTGCATTATTTTTAAACTACCATCATTCTCAGCTAAGTTCACTTGTTGTTTCATGTTGGTTCAAGCCACTAACATCTTCCACTCCAGTCAACAGTAACAGCATATAATCAACTATAATTCCTATAGTTATAATAATTGAAAGAAATTTCAATATTCAATAAAACAAATAAATGATTTTGGGATGATTCGTATATAAACATATAACTTGTTAAAATAAAAAATATATATCATAAAATGTGACATTACAAAAATTAAAATGTCCCGTAAGTAACAGTGGCATTGCCCACCAACATAATTTATACACCTTTAAATCAACTTAATCTTCAATGATACACCCTATCCGATACACTCACTTGTTCTAATCTCTATATAAGATCACCCATTCTTTTCTTGTTTTTAGAGTTGCACCGCACATCTATCTGATTGTTGCCTTTTCAATTCTTTCTAAATATTGGACATCATCTTTATTGCATATGTTTCACTGCTATGCATCATAATCTAGACTCACATAGCGTATATCTTTTCTTTATTCTTATGTATATATATTAGGGCTGTTTAGTATGCTAATTTGTTTTCAGAACATAGCTAATTGAAGTTTTTTCCATTCAACTATCATATTGTGGTTCAAAAATATTTTTTACTAAATTTTATTATTTGCCCTTAAGGTCCCTCAAAGCCCCTAAACATTTGACAGGCCCCTAATATTATTGAAAAAAAATTATTTAAAAATATGTCAACTTGGTACTCAAAAGAAGCAAAATCATTTAAAAATTTCAAAAACAAAAAGTATTTTTTATAAAAAAAAACAATATTAGGTTTTTTTGAATAAAAACTATGGTTTTTAAACGAAAAATGAAAAAAAGGTAATATTCACAACATTTTTAATAATAAGTTTTTTTAAGTTGTTTTTTATAAAAAATGAATCTAATTTTTAAAATTTTTATAAAATTTTGCTTCTTTTGAGTACCAAGTTGACATATTTTTTAATAATATTAGGGACCTGTCAAATGTTTAGTGGCTTTGAGGGACCTTTAGGTTAAATAATAAAATTTAGTAAAAAATATTTTTGAACCACAATATGATAGTTGAATGGGAAAAACTTCAATTAGCTATGTTCTGAAAACAAATTAGCATACTGAACAGCCCTAATATATATATATATATATATATATATATATATATATATATATATATATATATATATATATATATATATATATATATATATATATATATATATATATATATATATATATATATAATTTTAAATATATTCTATAAAATAGAGTGCTGAATGTTCTTAAAAGAACAGAGCAATAAATTAGTAGAAATTATAGATCATAGTATTCGATAGATAGTAGTATTCGATATACATATATATATATATCGAATAGTAATATATCGGTAGAAATATTCAGTATACATATATATCAAATGTATAAATATTTAAGAATGCCTAAAATATATTAATTAACATATTTAAAAACAAACACATTTGGAAAACATCAAGTTAAAATACTTATTCCGTAATTCGTATAAATTGTTCCAAGGGAGTTAAAATATTATAGGTAGTTAATTTGTTTCGCCGACAGGGGTTAATTTATTTCAAGAGGAGTTAATCTATTTCGAAAGAGATTAACTCCCCGGATAACTTTTTACGCGACGGGAGTTAATTTATTATGGGGGTTAATTTATTTCATGACACCGGCGCGCCGGTGTCATGAAATAAATTAACCCCCATCGCCGCCATTATGGTGGCGGTAAAACTGAAAATAAGACAATCACTTGTGGAGTTCCTCAAGGATCTGTTTTAGGTCCGCTTTTGTTTTTAATATACATTAACGACTTAAGCAAAGTTTCAAAAATTTTAGACTATTTTGTTTGCTGACGAATCTAATTTATTTTATTTCCGTTGTAATATAAAAACCCTATTTAAAACAGTCAACAAAGAACTGTTAAAAGTAACTGAGTGGTTTAATACAAATAAATTGTCATTAAATTAACCAAAACTAAGTATATTTTTTTTCATCGCCTTTATCAAAGAGACGAAATTCCTCTAAAGTTCCAAATGGTAGCATTGGGAATCAATTTATAAAAAAAGAACACTCAATGAAGTTTCTAGGAGTTCTTTTTGACGAAAATGTCACATAAAATTAATCGAAAAAAAAATTTCTAAAAAACATTAGCATACTTTATTTAATGTAAAACCTTACCTAAATCAAATTTGTTTAAAATATATCTACTTCATTTTTATTCATTTTTATCTCAATTATGCTAACATTGCTTGGTGCAACACCAATAAAAAAAAACTAAACAAACTATTCAACAAACAAAAAAAAAGTATCAAATTGATGAAATATTTTTTGTACTATTTTCAACTAGACTCATATCTATCAATAAATTTTAAATTTTATAGTAAAATATTTTAGCGTTCAAAAATTATGGCCCTATAAAATTTGAAACACCCTCAAATTGAGGGGGGTATAAACTTTATGTGGTCATAATTTTTGAACGCTAAATTATTTTACTATGAAATTTAAAATTTATCGATGAATATAAGTCTAGTTGAAAATAGTTATTTTAATTTTTGGGCTTTTTTGTTCCCAGGCTCCGATTATCGCAATTTTTTGCAAAGCATCCTTATTTGACATAGGTGTAAATATATAAATGTTTGGAGTTCGCTCCATGTTTGGAAGTTAGCAATGTCAAAGACCAAAAAATGCTGGACCCGCCCCTGTATGAGAATAATATCCAACGCAGACCGTCTCTCTCATTCACAAGCACTATTTATTAATCTAAAGATTTTAAATATTTACCAAATGAATATATATCATCATTTAATTTTTATGTATAAAATCCATGCGAAATATTTTTAAAACGCTATTTAAAAAATTGCATCACAAATATCTTACTAGACATGCAAACAATAATTATATTCAAGCTAAAACTTACTTTGAAGCCACCAAGTTTTCTATCACAGCTAGAGGCTCCCAATTATGGAGTATAGTAATTAGAAATGACAACAAAACGCTTGCAAACATAAATATTTTTAAATCAAAGCTAATAATTAAAAGAAATAATTTTAATTAATCAAAACATAAAGGACTTCTTCTAGAGCTATATTTAATTGTTGGCCTTTAAAATATTATATAGTATATTTTCATTTTATTTGCAAAGTTTTAAAATTTTGGTTCTTAAAAAATTTATTTTTTATTTTTTGTTTTCTTATTATGAAAATCTAAAATATTTTCCTCAAAATTTTAAATTCTTTTCATTATATTTCCTAATTAGGAATTTTTAATCGCATTATTTAAAAACTGTTATACATAGTTTTGAATATTTTTTTGTTTGTTTATTTTTTATATTTGCTTTATATTCAATTATTATTGAAAATAAATTTTAGACTTTCGCGACGTTAGAATTATCTTGTTCTATCGTTATCTTTAAAGTTATCGTTATCTTTAAAGTTATCTTTAAAGTTATCTTGTTCTATCTAAAGATTATTATCAAAATGTCATAAAGATTTTTCGGGAAGAGATGTCTTGAAGATTTTTTGGGAAAAAAGTTCTTGAGATTAGTATGAACTCAACTATTATAGCATTTAATGATGGAAGCACAGCAGTTGAAAAAGTAATTAGTGCTGGAGGTATCGAACCAAGTATATTTATGCAGGAAGGACTTCGTAAATTGGACTGCAACCGAATTAAAAAAAAGAATCACAAATCAAGTGCTAAAGGTAAATTAAGGAGAAAACAGCTTAGATCCATCAAAAAAGGTCACAATATAATAATGGAGGTTTTTAATTGGGCTTTTTTTTCTTTTCCTAATATAACGAACTTTTATTTTGTTTTTTTGTGTTTTTCTCAATATGTCGTTTTTACCAAATACCTAAATTTTAAAACGCAATATTTTCAGTTTGGGACCATATGCTGACTTGAAATTTTCTGGGTGATTTTGTTATAAGTTGACTTAGGTAATGAACCAAAGTTAAAAATAAGTAAGATGTTTAAGTATGTTTAAAATCTTTTTTTCTTGCTTTTTTTGTTAAAAATTTTCTTAAATATAATGAAAATTACTTATAAAATGTTCTATGCATCTTTAATGCATGATTGAGGTTCATAACCTCCTCGTACCTTTAGGAACAAGTGTGAAAATTTCATTGTGAAAGGATATATAGAACTGGAGATATCTTGTTTTAAATTACACCCACATTTTAGCGATTCGTATTCAATAAGTGGGGCAAAAGTTGGGCAACCGAGATTTCTTATTTTTTTAAAAAAAATCAACATACTTGTTTTAACTTGTGTATTGCAGTTTTAATTTTGTATTGATTATTTTAAGGAAATTTTTTAGAATGGAGGGAAGGTTGGGGGGGGGTGTACCACCTTAATCTAAAAAAAATGTAATTCAAAATATCAAAAATCAAAATATTTCAATAGGCTTTAATAAACGGTGGAATAGATTTACAACTACAACTTTGACTTTATTTATATAAAAATCATTATGCATAAAATAAGGAAGTATCATATAAAATGAACAAATTATTATATCTTTATAACAATAAATATATTTATTAATAATTATTATTAATACGTAAAAAATATAACTTTTTAATAAAAACTTACAAATTAAAGAAATCATAAAAATTGTTAAATATGATTTTCTGTATTGCATAAATATATAAAAAAAAATAGAATCGACATATGATATAAGAAAAAAACACATTACATTTAAAAATTGGAAATCTATTTGCCTGTTTATGGTAGTTCTTTGTGATATTGCAGTGATTATAACTATTTATTGAAAAACCAAATTTTTTCTTTTTAATTTTATTTAGGTGCCCTAAGAAGTTCTTATGGTATTATCACAGAACACCGTAGATAAACATATAAGTCGATGTTCACGCTTCCTTCCTAACCAATATCACAAAACTTGCCCAGAGGTGGGGTTTGAACCACAGATCATTGTTTCTGAGGCAAGTGCGCTACCTTTGCGCCACGGTTGCAAATATATATCAAATGTCAAAGAGAAAAAGTACTAAAAACACAAAAAATGAAAATAAGATATCAAATTTAT